GTGTTATGTTACATATTCGCTTCAACTCAGTACGTATTGCTGGTGTAATAATAAATGATATGTAAATATTTTTTTACACCCAAATCAAAAAAAAAAAAAAGAGTTCACATCTTAATTATTTTACAATCGTTTTATTTTTTTCTTCTTCATATCTCTTGTTTAGACAGAACTAGACAAGTAAATTAAATAAATAAAAGAACTTAGCTATAACGGTATCAGCGGATATCACACATACCTACACATAGCTATTTTAAACAATGAAAATCTCTCTAATACCCACGTTTATTATTTCAAGATCTGTTTTCAGTGTGCCTTTTCAACATCAACACTAGTTTTTTTTTTTGATGACATTCTTCAGAGTTAGAGCAAAGCAAAGATAAGATAGATCAGGTGAATTCATATCATCTAGAAATAGATGTCTAGATTTTTTAGATACATACGACGATACACACGATCGTCATTCATTTCATATACAAACATATTACGACAAGCGTCAGATGATTTTGCAATATCAGGCAGTTTTATGCTTTATTTCACACAATCTATGTTGGAATGTAAATTTTGTTATCATATTTTTTTGGTTTGAGAAGTTTTTAGGGTTGCCGAAAGTGGAATTTTTCGGCGCCCAACATAGAGCAGATATTGGCGACTAATGTAAATTACGACATTAAGATGCAAAAATATATTAATGTGACACGGAACATTCAAAAATGTATTTTCTAGAATATTTTTAACTTCAGTTTTGCAATACGCGGTATTGGCGCCCAACGTGAACTCAGTCAGTTGATCACAATATATTTTAGCAAATATATTTTAGCAAATGTATTCAATATTCTTCATTTTTGAAATATTTAATGACAGCAGAAAGGATGTTATATTAGATATAGAATGGAATTGGCGCCCAATGGTAATATCGAAGCTAGAAAATATATCTTTATTAACTTAGAAGGCAGCACAATTTTAACTTCTTAAAAATTCGATTGTTGGGCAATGCTTCTATAACAGTAAGCAAATAAAATTGGTGTCGAACGGGTAAATGTTCTAAGTTTATAGTTTCCAGGACATTTGTATGGAAGCTAAAACATATTTAATGAATCCGATAGTCGCCCATTTAATTTCAATATTTTATAACAGTTCTAATGGAATTTGGTCTCATTATCACAATACAAATAAATGGCGCCCAACTTACCATAATTTGCTTATTAAGTTCACAGTTTTCCGGCAGTTTTATATCGATGCGAAATAAAATATATCTGTGCTAGCTTAAAAGGCCGCACCATTTCGGATACCTAAAAAATCTATTGTTAGGAAAAATTTCTATAAGAGTAAATAAATTGAATTGGCGACGAACGGGCAAATGTCCTAAGTTTATAGTTTCCAGGACATTTGAATATATTTGATGAATACCACATACGCCCATTTAATTTCAATCTCTAATAACAGTTATAATGGAATTTTCGTCTCATTATCACAATACAAATAAATGGCGCCCAACGTATCATAATTTGCTTATTACAGCTAATAATGATATGTGTTGATTATCGCAACCTTCAGTATTTCATCTGATATGATATTCATGATATTCCTTTCTAGATTTGTGGCATTTAGACGTTTTTTCATTATATAAAAAATTAAATTGGCGCCCAACGTAAATTGAATTTAATTATACAGTTCTTCAACATTTGGTTGGTTATTTAAACATATTAATATCAAATACACGATTTGAATGCCTAAAATACAATTCTCAAGGAGTTTTGTTGTCAACTTCACAGTAACAATAATTGGCGCCCAATGTAAATATTTTTTTGTCTAGAGGCTAATAAAATATGTGTTGACTCAATGCTTTTTTTCAAATTCTCCAAAATATTTTGTCAAAGTTACTAATATTTCATTTCGAATTTGATTTTTACATCTCTATACAAACAAAAATTAAATTGGCGCCCAACGTAAATTTATTTACAGGTTATATGATTCTACCTATATTTTATTGAAGTTTGAGCTTACAAATGCTTCAAAACGAAATTCTGATTGAATCCTGGTCTTAGAATCACAATCGAAAAATAATTGGCGTAATACGAAACATTGGCGCCCAACGTAAATATTAATTGATTTAATTGAAAATGATATGTATGAGTTCTGGGATATTCTCCAAAACGTTTTGAAATATGATACTCCATGTCTAGATGGGAACTTCATTTCAAACTCTATCACAATAAAAATATCTTCAACGTCATCCCATTTTTTGGCCAAAACCCGAACAAATCTACACAACTTTTTTGGCTAAGATATAAATAAAGCTAAACATTTTGTGTTTTAACTTATCTACGAATTTGTTGGGTTTGGCGTTTTTTTTCATATTGTTTGAATATTTGTTGTTGTTGTTGAAAAACAACCCAAATATAATAAAATGGGTTTTTTGTTGTTGGTACCGTAGGTTTTATGGTGGGTGGCTGGTAAGGCCTGGTGTTAATTTTTTGTTTCTTTGCGTATGTGTATGAAGGCAATAAAAGTTCATGTTTAATTGTATTTCATTTCTTTGCTGACTGACTGAAGTTGTTGTTGCTTTTTTATTTATGTTTACGTTAAACAAAAGCAAAAAAAAACAACAAAAAGTAAAGACGAATGCAAGAAATTAAGGTGTGAACACATTTTTATTATTGTGTCACTCAGTCAAGTTTAATTTTAATTTAATTGTCGTTCTTATTTTTTTTTCGACGTTGAGATATTTCTGGTTCGTATTATTTTTTGTGGTGTCATGAAGGTTATTTGTGAATCATAGAAATGTCTTAAACAATTTTAATTGTCAATTAAGTTCTTTACAATACTCTAAAATTCAAATAATTTATAAAAAGGCAAAAAGAAAAAAATAATAATAGTGGCGCCCAATATATTAAGTCCTCCTGAAAATGTACCAATGCCATCTTCATATATTTAAATAGTGATTGGGCCTAAAGAATACTGCAGATGTTGTCTTAATTGATCTCCATACGTTGAAATGACACATGGACTAGAAATTAATGGCGCCCAACAGAAAATGTCAATATTCATATTTTTATTGATACATCCAAATTAAGATTGGGACTAGAAAATACAACTGGCTTTATTTTTATTGTTGTATGGACAATCAATTTCAGTATTTAAATTCATGGACAAAATGGCGCCCAAATGATTTTCAGTAGCATTCTATATAATGTCTAAGGGACAGTTTAATTGCTAATTGATCTGATAATTTTTATTATGCTAAGGAGTTCAGTCTGTAATTATTTTATTTAATTCACATAAATTACAGTAGATGGCGCCCAACAGTATTTTATATTTTAATTTATTTTTTTTTCTAAATGATTTTTCACATTTTTTATTTGTCCACATTCTAAATCTTACTAATTTTCCCTCTCTTCTCTATTGCAGGTAAAACCCGTACCAAGGATAAATATCGCGTAGTCTACACCGATTTCCAACGCCTAGAATTGGAGAAAGAATATTGTACATCACGTTACATCACCATACGACGCAAAACCGAATTGGCACAAACCCTATCGCTGTCGGAACGTCAAGTGAAAATATGGTTTCAAAATCGTCGCGCTAAAGAGCGTAAACAAAATAAAAAAGTCAGCGAACCGACTATTGGTGGAGTGCAACATCCCGACTATGCTAATTTAATGGATACCAAACCGAAATTGGAACCCGGTCTACATTTACAACATTCCCTGCATTCGATGAGTTCAATGGCTGCCATGGGTATGCCAACAATGCGTCTGCATCCACATTTGCATGGCCATCATGCGCTGGCTGTGAGCGCCGCCCATTCTCATCAGTTGCATCAACCGTCACATGCTCAGATATCGGCTGCGGTGGGTAGTTTATCGATGTGACAACCTTATGCTGAATTAGATGCGGGCAGCAGCAACATAGGTTGCCTAGCAAATAGCAATAATCAACATAATATTATTAATAATAGTAATAGCAACAACAACAACAACAATAGCAGCAGCGGCAGCAATCACAATCACAACATCCAGCATGCTGATGAGGACCAAAGTATTTTGCATGATCTGGCAGCAGTTGCGTTGGGCGCCGATGATGTTGAAAATGCATTAGCCGTGGTGGCGGCGGCAGCTGCGGCCGCTACTGTTTCTGTCGCCGACGGCAATGACAATGTTAATGGTGACAGTACCGTCGGCGGCAGTGACGGTGTTAGCGGCAATCTGACAGCATCATGTCTAGCATGCAATAACCCAACATGTCCTAGTGAATTATTACCACTTGGCCCATCGCACTGCCACACAGCTTAAATATATTAAGCTCTCGCACACACACACACGTGCACAGAGCTACCCACACAAATGCACTTTGAACCACAGTGACGATTGGTCAATATCCGAACAGGGTTATACAATATTTTCTATGTCTAGTTATTTTTTCTTTTCTAATTTTATTTAATTTTTTCTGTCTGTTAGTTTTAAGTTTACAACGGAGGAGGTGTCGTTGTCAAATAACACTTTTTTCAGGCCGATAACGTGTTGTTGTACATGCGTGAATGTAATCATAATGTCTGTATGTGTAAATAGTTGTTATTTTAGTATGTCAACTGCAGTTGAATATTGCACGTGTTGTCTTTTGTGATTGTATATTCCAACTGTTGTTGAGACGTACTAATTTATCGTCCCGCCCCTTGTCCCCCTTTATGGTTACATTCGGTACACACACGGTTTATGGTTTTGATATTGTTGTGTTGTGTTGATTATGTCACCAATTCTCAATCCAAAACCCCCAATCCCCACCTTAGACCCCATCCCCCTTTAGTCTTAGTAAAAACCATTTTTATGTGTTTTTTTATTTTATTATTGTTTTCTTTTTGTTTTGAGTTTTTTTATTTTTATTTTTTTAATTTTATTATTTTTGAGTTATTTTTATTTAATTTTTCAGAATTTTTTTCTTTTTCGTAGGTTAAGTTTTGGAAATATTATAACAAAAACAAAAATAAATATGTTTAGTTATAAGTTTAAGCTACTAGGCCTTATAACGCACACACACACACACACGTCTATATATTCCGTGAGAGAATGAGAGAAAAAATCAACAACATTTGTAACCGTCCTTAGAACAAAAAACAAAAACAAAAAAAGATCACAAAAATCACAACTCGTAAGATTAAGTTAGTAAAACAAACAAAAAATATACATATATAATTAATTAAGGCTTTTAAGGTTAGAATGAACAATAATTAATAACAAAAAAATAATAATTTCCAAAACAAAGTATTGACAATTTAAATTGTTTGATTTTGACAATTGTCTGAAAAAAATTTACAACGAACAAAATTTTATTTGTAATTCCCCCAAAAACATTGTTCATTATAACCTCAAACGCCTGTCCCAAACACACACAATTTCTATTTATAAGAGAGTGAAAAAAAAACAAATTATCTTTAAAGAAAAACATTAACGAATTTTTTTGTTTGTTCATTAATAATAAACTGTGCAATTTATGTATCCCCCCACCTCCTTAACCTTACTTATCTTATGTAAATATCTATGTATGTTTCCCCCACTCCCCCTTTCTGAACATTGAAACACACACACATACACCCAAAATGAATTTCTAGTTTCTATTTATGTGGTCTTTTTTTTCTAAATATATTTAATTAACGTTTATTACTTATTAAATAATAAGAAAAAAATTAGCAACAACATCTACAAAAAAACAACATTTCTCTAATTTAGTTAAAATTAAATAAATTAATAATAATAATAATTAAAATTATAATTAAAAAAGCTTAAAGACAAAATAAATCTACTACTTAAAAAAAACGAACGGTGTATTGCATTCTTTGGAAGAGTGGGCAATATTTGTTCGCTGGTGGTAAGTAGTTGGATAGACAATAAAGGATGGATGCGATCAAAAATGCCTTTAACTGTAAAAATTGAGGCCCTTTCGTTTCACGAAAGATGGAATTCACCTAATAAGGTCTTCCTTCTTTCTAATTTCGAGGTAATCCAATGGGCTGGAAAATAATCACAAACGATTTCGCAGGCTTTTAAATTTGTATGCATCGCTTTGAGGACTTAAGGCTCCTACGAAATTTCAACTATGTTATCGAAATACGCACTATATTTTCTATAACTGAAATTCCTTATTCAATAACTTATATAATATATACTCTCCACCATGAGATGGGGGTTCAAGTTACCTAAACAAGGTTAGGTTAGGGATGTACGGTTGTTGTAACAACCGTCCACTCGGAAACTATGTCCATTGTGATCATCCTTTATGTATATATGTACCTGTACAGAAAAGAAAAAAGATAGTGGAAGAGTAGGGAGAAAAAATAGTGAGAAAGAAGGGGGCGGAAAAAAGATTTTTTAGCCAAGTACATTTTTTGACAAAGCCTAGAAATTGGTTAGGGTCTATTTTGGAGAAGAAGACTAGATTATCAATTTCATAACTTCCAAACTGTTTATGTCTTCTGCTGATCAGCGATGGACATTTGCAGAGGATGAGCTCAATTGTTTCCAGTTCTTCTTCGTCCTCACATAGACGACAGTAATCCTCTCCACTGGAGTCCCACTTAGAAGTGAGAGATCTAATTTTGCAGTGATCAGTTATGATCCCCACAACGATTTTGATCTCCCTCTTACTGTGTTCCAGCGGCGAAGAGGTTCTTTTGCGAGAGAATTCAGGGCATATAGATTTAGAGATTCTGCAAGCAGGTTCCCTTAACCATCTGTTACCGACTACCTCGCAATGGAACGCACGCATTCTGCATGGGCGGTTTCACAGATCTCTCAATCAGAAGACTGGACGACTGTGATCCCCCTCGAGCAAGCTCGTCGGCTATCTCATTCCCTTCAATGTCGTTATGTCCTGGAATCCAGCATAACCCAACTATCTGTCGTATATCATTCAGAGCGGTCTTACGATCATGAACTGCTTTCGAATTTATAGTATGCGACTTCACCGCTTTCAGGGCCGCCTGACTATCTACATATATAGTCACCGGTCCCGTAATGTCGGCATTAAGTGCTTTTACTATCTCGGCCGCTTTCGTGATTGCGAGAATCTCTGCTTGAAAAACGCTACAGTCATTGTTGAGTTTATATGAGTTCTGTATACCTAATTCCCTACAGTAAACGCCTGCGCCAGTGCTTTCCTCCATCTTGGACCCGTCTGTGAAGATTGACAGACCTGGCAGAGGTAGGGAGCCACTAGACCAGAATTCCCTACTAGGAAATTCAACTTTGATGTCATTAAAGTGCCTATGGGGGAGAATATAATCACTGATGTGACTATTCCCCCCTAAAGAGGTCATAACCTGGCGTTATGTTTAGGATGCTGGCATGACCGTAGTTCAGCGATTTCAAGGCATCTGTTTCTCGGAGTCTCAGGACGCACATGGCCGCCTGGAATTTGATCAGAATATCCAATGGTTGGAGATTCAAGATTGCGTTCAAGGCTGCCTGTGGTGTACTTCTTAATGCTCCGGTGATCAGAATTGACGCCGATCGCTGTACTGAGCTCAGTTTTATCAGCAGTTTATTTTTGTTCACCCCCTGCCACCAGACAAGACAACCATAAGTAAGTATGGGTAAGACGATCGTCGTATACAACCAGTGTATAATTCCGGGTCTCAATCCCCAACTCTTGCCTATGGAATTCTTGCATGAATAGAGTGCCGTCAATCCCTTCTTGGAGCGTTCCTCAGCATTCCTATTCCATAGTAACTTGCGGTCTAGGATAGTGTCAAGATATTTAGCTTCAGAAGAAAGGGTTAAAGTCACTCCTCCAAGTGATGGCAGACGGAAACTAGGAATTTTGTGCTTCCTAGTGAAGAGCACTAGTTCTGTTTTAGTGGGGTTTACACCAAGACCTTTGGTGCAAGCCCAATTAGACAGGGTTGAAAGGGCACCCTCCTGGGTCGGCCTAAACTAGGTCGCATCACTTATAGACATTGTATTTTACAATGTTTCCTCGGATATAACGTAATTAGAAGCTACAGTTATTTCGGTTGTAAAATCGACTATAACCGTCAAAATTCCTAAAATTGGGCGTTACCCAAATGCCCATTAACAGTCCCAGGACAATGAAAATATCTAAAATGGGCAAAACCTCTATGCATCTAGGGCTATGTCAAAGCTGGCACCCATATTGAATTTTTTATAAAGATGTTTTTTTTTTTATCCTTCAAGAATAATTATCTGTTAAAATCTGGAACCACTAAAAATTCACTTAACGATTTTAGAATTGCTATTTTCATATTGTACATGCACCTCTCTTTGAATACAAACATCTTATAATCATGAGTAAGCTACTATTTTTTCCAAACATATTATTAATTACACAACTATTTTCCTACTTCGCCCTATTTATCACTATTTGCGCTCTTGTTTTTCTCTATCTCCCTCTATTTTTTACAAAAACAAATGTATTCCATCTTTCGGCTGTGATTTGGTGCACCAGAGTCCCTGAAAATCATTTGATACATACTTTTGTCCCATAGGTGTCTGATTGAGATTAAATTTTAAGCAGTGGAGCATAGCGAATAGCGTGTGCCAAGTTTGCTTTAAATCGATTTACACAAATCTGTCCCACTGTGCGCAATCGACTCTAAATTTGCCCAAATGGAATGAAATTTAGCATAGGTTCCAGAAAGACATAAAAATCACATATTTTAGTTCGTTCAATTGCATGTCAAAATTCCTTCAAAAAGGCGACGACTTTTCGGATACCTATGTAGAATATACCAAAGTGGTGAAGGGTATCATATAGTCGGCCCAGTCCGACTTTACTACTTTCCTTACTTGTTACATTTAGATTAGTTTTTATCATTTTAGAGGTCGTTGAAGGATTCTCCTACTGTGCTATACTGGACACCTATCC